GAAAACCTCCCATCTGTTTATGAATTCCTCGTGAAGCTACGTTGTTCGCCGAGCAATAGATGTCATGTTTTATTTTTGTGCGAGGCCATAGTTGACATTCCTGCCCTGTTACCCCCGCTGGCTCAGAGCTTCCCATTTTTGAGTCAGCCATTCCTCTGTGTGTGGAGGTAACAAGCCAGAACACTCTACATTGTATTGCTGCTATTGAGAGGCAGGACACCAGTCCCAGCCCCTGGCCTCTCCGTTAAGCTCTCTGGAAGCCACACCAGAGAGTTCCTCTGTAGCTGAGGAGGAAGGTGAGAGATGGAGGCGAGGTGCGGGGACCCAGACTGCAGTGATGATGCCGAAGATGGACTGTGAAAGCTGCGAGTGGAACAAGTCCCCAAAGAAGTGGCCAGACTTTCCTCTTCTGATTGACATGCAAATCAAGCCGGCAGCAGGCGCTTTCACTCTGCCCACGCTCCCAGAACGGCAAATCAATCAGTCCGTCCCTACTGGGCCCGGCTCGATCCGGGAGGCAGAGGTGGGCTCAGAACCGAGGCGTGTGACCCAAGCCTAACTGGCAGACGGGCTGCGAATGAGAAAAAAAAAAAAAAACATAAAGAAGGCAAAGAAAATCCAAGAAGCTTAGTGGATTTTAAGAATTTCCAGGTGGTGAAGCCGTACATCTGATATACGGCAGGTGTCATAGAGCCGATCGGTCATGCCGACGTTCAGGGGAGGCAAGCTGCACAGGAAAGGCTGTTCGCTGGCTCGCAGGACCCGGTGGCACGCCACAGCGGCATGGAGGCTGCTCTACAGACTGCTCTTCCTGGTGACCAGAAGGCTGGGGGAGGTAGTGGCACTTTACGCTCTCGTGTTTGATGCTTCGCTTTGCTGTTTTTGTGTCGCTGCTCAAATTTAAAAGGAGCTTCTTGATTGGTACTGGAATAGTTCACAGCGTGAAGGCAAAATCACTCTTTAAGTTCAGCTCTCTCTTTTTTTTATCTGTTTTGATTGCAGGTAGATTTTACATAGCTTGAAAGAAAATATCAACCTTAACATTTGTACTCATCTGTTAGGCGTAGATGGAGAAATCCTTTTTTAAGATGTAATTGTTTACAAACTTATTGGTGGCCCAATTGTTCATACAACCATTATTAAACAGGACAGGTCTGACTTTTTCTCCATAACATTTCTCAAGGTTAGAGCACACAGAGAAATCTTTCACCATTCCTCTTTACCCCCATATAACCTTCAAGGCTATAAGGTTTGGGTCTGAAGGCTAAGATGTGAATGGAGAAAACATTGATTTTTTGTATGGGGTGAACCACTTCTGTGTTGATGTTTTGGATGATTTTTCTGCTGAAAGATTCATTAGCAACACATTCTTAATTTTCTGGATTATTTCCTGGCATTTCAAAGACAGCATGACTGTAACAAAGTACCCCTAATCTTGGGACAGGAAACACTCCCACATCACTACAGACCATCCACCGTGTCTTACAGGGGGGCATGAGGTGCTTTTCCACTTATTCATCCTTTGTGTTGAGTGTTTGTTGCTGCTGAAAAGCTCAAATTTAGAACTCCAGTTTATAGTCAAAGTAGAAACTAAAAACACAGGTTTATGTTTGGGATGGTAGAACACCTTAAAATTATAGGTTGGCATGTTGATAGAGTCTAAAAGTTGTTCTAGTTGCTGCATTTTTTTTTTCTTTTTCTTTTTACATTCCTTACCATCCCACTCAGTTAGGAAGATAAATCTGAATTTAAATACTATGTCATGCAGTATTTATAACCCAATGAAGCAGATAATTATTTATTACTAATTAGATGTTCTTAAAAACACTGATTAACTCAAAAAAGTAAACAAGTTATATCAAATTTTTTAGATTTCTGTATATTTAAATGATTTTTAGGGCCGCGGTGTTAAGGTGATTTTTACATTTTGAGATTATTCTGCTGCAATAAAACATGAGTTTCTTTCAAGGCTGTTTACAGACTTTTGCTCTGTGTGGTGGCAATTTCCCCCCCCCAATCTCTACATGTTTGCATGCAATGAATTCAGAATTAAAAAAAAAAAAAAAAAAAAAAACCAGCTAGCTGTTGCCATCAGGAAACTAAATCAAGCCCTTCTCTGATCACGCCTTGTTTTCTAATCTGTAAAGATCTGCAGAGCCGTATGTTCTGAATCGACTTCAGGGCATGAGCTAAGGTACAAACGTAACGCGGAGCAGACACCTGTCAGCCAGAAAGCCCCTGAATAGGAATTCACAGCAGCGCTGTCAGATCCACTTGTTCTTCACAGCTTCTCCCCGGCTTCTCCTCCCGTCTCCTCTGGCTCACGTCCTTAGCTTTTAATTGGTTATTTGGGCTGGCTGTCGGGCTGTGTTGGTTGGATTGTTGTGAGGCAGTTGCAGTTCCTGAGTCATGAGTGCGGAGCCCCCACCCGCCCTCTCTCGCCGTCTGCTTCTCTCTGCCCACCTTATCTAGTCGGGCTCCGGCGAATACATTTATTTATTTATTTTTTTATTTATTTATTTTTTTGTGGATTGAAGTGAACGAAATTGGGTTTCTCTGAGCAAAATGTAAGCATCTTCAGTCTTTTGTTCTCGAGCTTTGACTCCTCCACGCTCTCACAGTCGTATGTGAGCTTCAGCTGCACGTAGTGGGCCAGTACTAGAATGTGATGAGAATTAACTGAGCATTTGAGTGGAGATTTATGCTACCAGGCACATACTTGTTTGAAGAGAACCCGACAACCCCTCCCTGTGGGTGTCTGGAGCAGAAATAAGCGTCGCATGTGAGTGTTATCACTCTCCCGAAGCCTGCTCCCCTCCCTGTCTGGATGCATGAGTGGGCTGTTTGATGAATTTGTTGCTCTGATATCCTTTAACCTCCGTGCTTCCTTCAAGCCGTCTCTCTCTCTCTCCCCCCCTGTCCGTTTGCCTGGTGGGAGTTTTCCCAAGGCGTATATCACTAAATGAGGGCTGACTGCCACTGCGTCGTCACCGGCAGGCTTTCTGATCTTCAAAGGGAAAGTGTGTCAGCAGCAGTGTTTACAAGCTAAGAGAAAGCTGACACGCGCTCAGTCGCATTTAAGAAAATGCTGCCGATCGGCTCAGCAAACGATCAGCTTCTGCCTGGATGCTCGCGTAGCTGTGGGTTCATGTTTACGAGAACATAAGGTTGCCTGTCAAGTCAAATTGGAGACGTTCTCAGCAAGCAGGGAGACATTCGGTCCCCTCGCAATTATCAGCTAATACTCCCAAGAACTGCCTCCTTTTTTTTTTTTTTTTTTTTTCTTAGTTGTTTCCCAGAGACATGGAGTCTGCGCTTACATTCAGGGAGGTACATCTCTGGAGTGACCGTGTTATAATGAGCCAGCTGATGAGCCGCCGGCTTATTAACGGACGTCCTGATTGTCTGTGGACTCCCTGGGAGATTGTAGAGGGGTGGCAGCTCACACCAGTGCCCGAGCTAAATGACTCAGACAGGCTTTTACTCGCTGCTCGCGTTGTGTGCAGGCATGCGCTTCGGCGGCCCCGGCGTCAGAACGGAGGGCCTATCGATCCTTGTCTGTTGCTGTACATGCTTTAGTGGGGTGAGCTGCATTCGACTGCTTCCTGAAGCGACATTTTAGAATACCTGCACACACACACACACACAAACACGCACAAGGGGAAGTCGGAGATTGCTGAGCAGCTGTTTTTCTTGGCACTTGGACTGTGTCCCTCTGCTGTGTGTTGCTGAGCAGCAGATTGAAAAAAAAAAAACAAAAAAAAAAAACTGCCTTTGCTGGCACCTATCAGCCTCAGCTGATGTCAGGAGCTGGCCATAGATTATAATGCAACATCATGTCACTCACCTGCAGCAAGGAGGAATAGCCATTATGGAGCCAGAGCACTTAGATCTTGAGATGCACCAATCAGAATTTTGTGGCCGATTTATCATCTTTGAGTTTTGCAAAACTTTGCAATTGTTATTTTAGCAATTTGCACAGCTAGCAACATCACGGTACTTTGTTCAGCCATCCTAAACAGAAAAAATCTCATTCTCTCTTGCTCGCCACCGCCTGAATGACCCACAGACATATATGGGCATGTTGTAGATAATGCACTCTTTTAAATAGCTGTTTACTGCTGACCAGCCAGTCACAGCTCAGCGCCGATTAAGCTAAAATTGACCAGTTATGCTGATCTCCCATTGCATCAACTAAATTAAACCGAACCAAAGTGAAATGAATGTGAATTCATAGTTGCTAAACAATGTAGAAAGTGGATTTTTTCCCTCCCGTCGTTGCTTTCCATGTAATATAAGTGACAACTTCTTAATTGCTCATTTTCTGCCGCAACCGCTAACAGACTGCAACGTCTCAACCAGCCACAGGCGGAACTTTGCAATATGTTGCCTAAAGCATATGTTCATTTTCCTGAGGCTGTACAGGTGGAATAAATACAAAGTAAAGCAGATCATCTGCCTGTAGAGAACATCTCTGTAAATGATATGACGCTGAGTAATCTACGGGGCTCCACCTGTCAGAAAAGTATGTTTGAGCTTCCGTTTATTTAGCTGTAAATTTGCACACATTAAACACTGTAACCACGTATTACATGGCAACGTGGGATTTCCTGACACACTTCTGACGTTTGTTATAGCGTCAGAGGAACAATCAAATGTGCAGCAAGGCGATCTGGGGAGATTTAAGGTAGTATCTTAGATGCACTGTGAAGTCTACAAAGCCAATTATTGAGTGCATGAGTGAATCTCCAATGTTTTCAGAAAACCCAAAATTTCCCATGGATTTATTCACATAATTATAATATGAAGTTTTGAAATGTCAGTCAGTAGAGATGAAGATGTGAAGAAATAGTTTTTTATTGAAGCGTGTGTGTGTGTGTGTGTGTGTGTGTGGAGGCATGCAGACTCCACCAGTGTGATCCACCATTTTAATCTTCCGGCTGTTCTAATCTCCAAGCTGTCTAACCTAAATACTCCGTCCTCTCTGTCGCCCCCTATAGAGCGTGGAGACAGTGTGCACCATCTACAATTCCTTCCAGGAAGGCTCAGCAGCCGGGGGTGTGATGGATGATGTGAAGGAAACTCAGGGAGGCGAGTCAGGCTCAAGTCCCGCCAGAGAGGGCGCGCTGCTCAGACCTTGCCCCAAGCACATGAGCGTCACGGAGAGGCTGCGCAAGGTCATCCAGGAGCTGGTGGACACGGAGAAGTCCTACGTGAAGGTGAGTCTACAAAGACTGGACAGCTGTAATACTAGAATTAAGAGAAGTGGATTAATATTTCATCAAACTCTGCTTCACACTTTCTAAAGATTTAGTAACGTGATCCGCTGTCACTTTTTTTTTTTTCTTCTTTTTTTTTAAGACATTTGCCTTGATTGAAGCCACCGCAGAGTGTGGGATACAAAAGTATGAGCATTAAAAATGATTCAGTTTCCTCTTACACCTGTCTGGCATTATTTCATTATGTCCTGATTTGGTGTTTTTGATTATAGTGACAATTTTTTTTTTCTGCTGCACAATATAAAAGCTACAATCATAAACTCAGGGTCCCTATAGTCTTTCATGAGTTTTCAGGGCTTGACGAGTATGAGGGGGAAAAAAAAAAATAGAAAACAGTTGCATTTTGAGACTTCCTGATTTCTTTGTCCAAAAGTTGTCCTCTTTTAATCCATCATTTCTTTCGCCATATCTCACTTTCTTCTGTCCTTCTTTCTGTCGTTCGTTGTCGTTTCCTGTATGCTTACTTCGTGTTCTTCTTTCTTTTCCTCCACCTCAAGTCTTTCCTTCATTGCTCTCTTTGTTCCCTGCTTTCTCTCTACCTTTGTACCTTTTTTTTTCCCCGTCTTGAAACTATGAAATAAAATAAAAAATGTGCCGGAACCCTTCAAACTTCTGCACTCTGCAGCCCTTGTAGCATTTCTTCCCCTTCTTCCAAATTTCCTTGTTGTCTTCATCCGTTCCCCCTCCCCTCTTCAGCCTACCATTGAGTCGTAATTGAGGGAGGAGATTGCCTTCCCAGAGCAGCTTGATTCAGGTCGTTTCGTCTGAATCCATGCACCGCTGGCTGGGGTGCTGAAGGGAAGGAGGGAAGAGGAGAATGCTCATAAATCAGCCTAATGAGAATATTCTCGCTGATTCTAAGACAAGCTACAGCCATATTAAAGGAGCGGGCTGGAGGGATAGAGAGGGGAACGGGAGGGAAATGAGGTGATTGGGGAGGTTATAAAGGCAGAACTCTGATGATGGAGGGGATTTTAAAGGATGAGCATGTTCAGGAATAAAGCACAGATGACTGACCACCTTCTGCTTCTTTCCCCACTTATAGGACCTGGACTGCTTGTTTGAGATCTACCTGAAACCGCTGCAGAGCGAAACCTTCCTCACACAGGACGAGGTAGGCTGCGGATCTTTGTCCTGGAGAAAAGGTCGAAATCATTGAGTGTTTATTACCCATCGATGAACTCAACCGGATCATCTCCCTCATTTTTAAAAATGTCATCTGATCAAAAAAAAAAAAAAAACCCACATCAAATAAATACAAATAAGAAAAAGCCACCACAATTCATTTTTAAAGAAATTGGCTTTTCACAGTGGAGTGTTGTATCCAATCATCTTTCTGAAAAGTTGAGTGGAAAGAATAGGTGAGGTAGAAAAAGGTGCAAAAATTGCAGGCTTGAGAAGATTTGGAAGCAAAGCTTGAGCTTAACTTTTCTCTGAACTTCTTGTCAATAACGGTGTGACTGACGAGGCTGTAATGTCACAATTCTGTTTTGATAAACTTCTTCTTTATTAGTCTTACGTAAAATCACTTATTGTGAATTTGCTGAGATGCAAATAGTGTTTCTGCAGTATGCTAATGAAATCACACTTGCCCCGGGCATGACCTCAGACATGGGACACTCCTCCTGAGATACAGCAGTCGATAGTCCTGCTGAGACCGAGGGCAAATAAAATACCCATTATGAGAGACGGGGACGTGTCCAGACACAGACTGGACAGGGCAGTGTTGGCCCCTCGATGGATTTTAATGAACGGTACCGTCGACCCCGGCTGTACAGTAGACGGCATATTTGTGGCTCTGTCTGTTACGGGCTTTGTCAGAGATGGAGCCATCACAGAGGAGATCTTCTAGCCCTCCAGAGGGAATGTGTGACTGACTGTTATGAATTACAAGTCATCCCAGCTTTATTTTCTTTCCATGTAACCTCACATTCTCTCTCTCTCCTCCCACTGCTCTGTCTGTGCTGTGCGGCCATCAATCAACTTCCCACTGTTCCACCATTTCTCTCTCCTTTCCTTTCCTTTCTTATCCACCCGTTACTCTTCATCCCTGCCACCCTGCTCTCCTTGTCAGATGGAGAGTTTGTTTGGCAGCCTTCCTGAGATGCTGGACTTCCAGAGGGTCTTCCTGCAGACCCTGGAGGAGAGGATTGCCTCCAAGCCTGACGTCAGCACCCTGGAGACGCCCTCGCAGTTTAAGGTACATAGACACAGCGATGTTTACACCCTTATCGATTAAAGCTTAACATCTTTCAAGCACACCAAACAGGTAATCTGAGTTACTTTTCCCATAAAAAGATGTGACCTTTGAGTTTTGGGGATTTATTAGACAAATGAAGAGTTGTGACAGCAGTACAATGTCCTGATTTATAGGCTTAGCCTGACAAGTTGTGGAGTCTGTTGATTAAATCTGCGGTTCAGCGGCTGAACCCAGAAAGGTTAGTCGAGAGGAAGGGGGCTTCTGAATGGTCTCCCAGGAGAGATGGAGGACGGTCATGACTTCACGTGTTCATGCTCTTTCATCTTGTATAAAGCCACTTTCTGTCTGTGTGTAAACCTCACTCCATTTTATTTATTTTTTTTTCTATTTCCTGGCAGAAGCTGCTGTTTTCTCTGGGGGGTTCGTTCCTCTATTATGCGGACCACTTCAAGCTCTACAGTGGGTTCTGTGCAAACCACATCAAAGTCCAGCAGGTCCTAAAGAGAGGTAAGGAATCCTGATCACGAGGTTCTCACCATTACTTTTCCAGATTCAGATCCCCACAGTTCTGTCCTTTCCAAAAAGTGAGAATTATGACCGATATGTTGTGGGTAGGCTTCATATACAGAGGATGAAAACCCCCCCAGACTGGATGGATAGATAGATGGGCAAACGGATAGATGGGTGGATTGATGGTTAATGGCTGGATAGATGGATGGATAGATGGCAGGTAAATGAATACATGGCCGATGGGTAGATGACCGGGTGAAGGATGAGAGTGGACAAATGGATGGATCGGGGATGTCGTGGAATATTATGGCAAATGAAAAATAAAGCAAGGAAAATTCCATCTTCTCTACGTTTTCCAGTCCACACCTGGATAATCCTTAAATTCCATGATTTTCCATGACTTTGTAGGAACCCTGCAATAAGCACAACATAGCATCCCATGAAGCAGAGGATCAGTGCATGTTAACTACCTGCTTCCAAACTTTCTTCTCGTCAGCTTCCTTACACCTGAGTTGCATCAGTGATGTCCCATGGCACTCGCTTCTCCATTTCTGGCCATCAACTGTTAGGAAGCAAGTCAATTATGTATGAAAGCAAATATCCCAGAGTGAGGCGTGTGGATGAAAGTGAGCTGACTGATGCCTTTCCAGTTTTCCATCTCCTACGTCCCGCGCAGAAATCCTGTCATTTGCGATTTCAAAACGAAGACCTGTCCGCCCAAAGTCAGGCTTTCAAATGATCCTGCTCACTCGACGGCTTGCTTTCCACAGCACACATGTCCGTGTAGAAAACTGAAAAGTTAATTTGTGCATGCCAAGACGTCTGGCATCACTTGGGAATGCTGCCCAGCAAAACAGGACGATGTAAGAAGAGTGGTGGCTTTGCCAACATGGAAGGGTGGCGAGGGCTTAAACCTGCCATATTAACATAATGGTTTGGGGTATTCCTTGAAGTAAGCAGCAGGAGGAATATTTAATCGGATTAACTCTCCAAAGTCGATGATGGGTCAGAGTTACCTGGAGCAAAAATAAACACCCTGAGCATTTTCTTGGATATTTTGATCCTGCAAACAGTGTTTTTGTTCCAACAAGTGTCAATAAAACTTTGAGGGTAGACCATTCGGTTTTAAATATAACAGGGTTATAAATTGTTGGCAGCAGGAAAGTAACCAGCAGTTATCTAAAGCTTAAAATGACGAGGTGCACCTTTATTATAGCTGGCGCTCACGAGCTAACACAATAGTGGGTAGCACAAAATTTTGCACAGTGCAGATAAAAGCTGCTTTGCGTAATCACCGATGGCCAGTTTGCTCTGAATCACGGAGAACTCCCTGCACAGCCCGGTCATAAACAGGTGCAGTCTTCATCGTCCTCCTCTCCCCCTGCAGACCGCGAGTTACCGCCGCTTCTGTTTATTCGTTCGACTTGTTAATCGCCTGCCAATTACTGCAGGAGGTTCCGATGCAGCCGGCTGTCTGTTGCTGAAAGTGTTATAATTACTGCTGTAATGGCCCCCCCTCCCTCCTCTCTGTGGAAGCATACCGCAGTGGGAAAATGTCACCGCCTGTACAGACAACTCATTCTGCTGCATGCATCGAACTTTACTCTCGTTCACGCTGTTGGCTTCAGCAAGAGCTATGCAGGTCAGATCTGAGAGGTTGAGTTGCCTCTACTTAGTGAGTTAATTAAAAAAAAAAAAAAAAAGTTTGCCATTTGTTATATCATAGAGGTAATTTACTGACGCAGTATCGGTGGAGTAGATGCAGAAGAAAGCTACACTACCACCTGCTGGAGACAAGTTATTGCACCACGATTCTGCCCTTACAAGACTGACATTTATAGCAGCATTTCAGGAAATCCAAGTACCATTCATCTAAGAAGAAAAAGAACCTAGTTCAGTAGTTCAGTTCTAAAAAGTAAAACCTTTATTATGACTATTTTTAATGTATGTTTTTCTACTCAATTTTAAATTTCCTCTCATTAATGTTTGACAACACTGATGTGCAGCTGCAAATAGGATTTTATCAAAAAGATAAGGCCAGTCCCATTCAACGATTTAGACATCATAGTAAAATAATTTGTTACAAATGGCAACATATTTCAATGCAGCATTTTTGTTGTTATTATTTTAGATGACCGTGCTTTACAGCAAATCCAAATCTAAAGTCTGGTTTCTTAAATCAATAAAAATGTAGTCTTAGATTATATATAATCATGGGGGCAGGCTGTCGATGACACCACTCAAGGTCATTTGGAGAAAAAAGGTGCATATTAAAGGAAAGTTAAGTGGAAGAAAAAAAGTGCAATTATAAAAGATGCACAAGCAAGAAGAACAACATCCAGCTTTAAGGGGATTGTGAATTAAAGTTTGTTCGAGTTTCTGTGAGATTCACAAAATGCAGAAAGTGGCTGGAGTTTGTGATTCAGGAGTTTTCTGGAAAATGGGCTCCAGTTGTGACAATCCGGATCCAGAAACCACGTCAGAAGCATCGAACCGTATTAAAGGGAAAGAGGATAAGACTGTAGCTCAGTGGTCAAAGGTCATGAGCAACACCGCATAGCCACAGGCTGTCATATTATATTGGAGGGGACCCCAACAAAGATTTGAGTGCAGATACTCATAAATGTCCACCTGCTGGTGGACATTTCCAAGTTAAAATATTTTTGTTTTTCATGGTTTTATTTATGTTATACATACATACATACATACATACATACATACACATATTTATGAAAGTATGAAAATTCAAAATAATAAATGTTTGAAGATCTAATGTTTTTTTTTTATTTTTTTTTTTATAAGTTGCACTTAGATTTAATGAACGTAATGACCAAAATAAATCAACTATTCATGATATTCACATTTACTGAGACACACATGTAGATTCAACTTTGGTCCATCAGGAAACTCAAAGGATGATAATGAAGTGGTGAAATATCTCATGCGATTTTATCTTTTTTCTTTTAAATTACAGCAAAGACGGATCAGGCCTTTAAACAATTCCTGGATGCAAGGAACCCTACTAAGCAGCACTCGTCCACCCTGGAGTCGTACTTGATTAAACCGGTGCAGAGGGTCCTTAAGTACCCCCTGCTGCTCCGAGAGCTGGTCTCCCTTACCGATGCGGACAGCGAGGAGCACTACCACCTCACCGGTAGGAAAACACATGCACGGTTGGGAATCTGCACTCGTTCACACTTGTTTCTCGATGATTTGATTTAATGCACGCAATGATCAAGTATCAAATCTTAACCAAATGCAGCATGTAAAACCCTGATGTGTTGCATGCCCTTGCAGAGGCTCTGAAGGCCATGGAGAAGGTGGCGAGCCACATCAACGAGATGCAGAAGATCTACGAGGATTTCGGCTCCGTGTTTGACCAGTTGGTTGCGGAGCAGACGGGCCTCGACAAGGAGGTGAATCTGCGTTTCCACATAAGATCTGTAATCGTAATGTCAGAATAGTGGAGATGCACGTGGTCTCAACCGAATTTATGAGCTTGGCCGATTGCAAATGCATGAGAGCTGTTTTATTTACATGCTGCAAAAAAATATGAACGTGCAGCTTGTTCTCCTTCTCCATCCTCGGCTCACTTTTGAACTTTCCTCTTCTGTCCCCGTCAGGTCACAGAGATTTCCATGGGTGAGTTTCTCATGCATTCCTCAGTGGTCTGGCTCAACCCTCATCCATCGCTGGGCCGCATGAGAAAAGATCCCGAAATTACTGTATTTGGTGAGTCTCGCAGCGTGTCATCCTTGGATGTTTGCACAATTAAAGTCCGTGTAGAACAAGTGAATTTGGTTTGTCGGAGAAGTGCGCAGAGGCGCATGTGAGCAGCGCTCTGACTGAGACTCTCTTTGAATTTAAATATCCATAGCTGTAATGCTGATGTATGCCTTAAGGCTTCAAACTGGCAGTTGACATGCTTCTGTGGGATCCCAGGAGGTATTTGCAGTCAAAACCTAAGATGCTGATGTGCTTTTTTTTTTTTCTTTTTTCTCCCCCTTCTCCCCCACCAGTCTTCAAGAAAGCGGTGATATTGGTCTACAGGGAAAACTACAAGCTGAAGAAGAAAATGGTAAGAATAGCATCTGTTATACTTTCCCACGACACAAATAGTGTGTTTAGTTTGAAAAGTTGCATTTTCTCCTTTTATTCCAACATGGCTTTGTGTGTCTCTGCTCCGTGACCAGACGAATCCTCGTTCGGCACTTTGTCACGGCGACTCAGACCCGTTTAAGTTCCGGCGGCTCATTCCTCTGTCTGCACTGCAGGTCAGGCTGGGCAACGCTGCAGGTAAGAGGCTGGCACATCGCCACATTATCCCCCCTCCTCCCACTGCCCCGCTTTTCACATTCCAGCCTCAACGCCCCTCCCTCTTCTTATCTCCTTCTGAAAGCATAAAACATATTTGAACTGTTTGATTAGAAGCTCTGGCTTCATTTCTTCCCCCCCCCCTTCTCTGTCCATCTCTTTTTCCAGGAACGGGCACGGAAAGCAGCTGCATTTGGGAGCTGATTCACTCCCGGTCTGAAGTGGAAGGCAGACCGGAGACGGTCTTCCAACTGTGTAGCAGGTCAGAGTTACCATCTAGTTGATGTTAATGCTTTTATGAATTTATAGTTTGGTTTATCCACTGAAGGATGCTCTACTGAAGGGCTCTTCTCTCTTAATTTTTTCCCCCCCAATTTCCTAACATTACAACCTCAAGCTACATATTTTACTGTGGATTTTTTTAATAGAAAAAAAAAGTCTGTGCATGTAAAGTAGATTAATAATGCATGCCACACTTAAAAATTGTGTTGTTTTTTTTTCTTCTGCTGTATGGAGTTGATCAGTTAAAATCCCAATAAAATAGAAAATTGTTTATTTTTACTTTGGTGAAGCAAAATGGTCTAACAATCAAAGAAAATTCCATTCAAAAACCAACATTTTTATTTGCAATGTGTTTTATTCAATAATAACAAAAAAATAAAGACTTTCATGTGGAGGTAGCAGGCTTATTTAAAAATCGCCAAGCAGAAGTGAATTTTCTTGTAGTCTAAAATGTACAGGGCCTCCCTGCCCCCTCACAGCTACAGGTGCTTCGATATGTTAGCAAGCTTGTAAATGTCATTCCTGATTGGAAAGGTCAAACTTTGCGCATCTTCAGTTGGAAATTGAGACTCAGCCTTAAGAGTAGAGCTGCTGCTTTACGTCCAAATAAAAGCTGAGGTGACTGGAGAAACAGGATTTCTCCTGGGCTCCTCCTTTTAATGGGACAGGCCCAGAACTTGATAGAGGGAACAAATCTCTCTTCCAGCCAGACTGGTTTTTCTAATTAACCTATGACCTGGGTAAAGAAATTACCCGTTTCCTCCAAACATAAATCTTAATCCAAAAAGTTAACCTGTAGCAGTATATCTGACATAGTATTTGATATAAAAACTGTATAGAAACTTAAAAACAGTAACAAAAAAAATAACATATCTAGCTGTAAACGTGTCAAAATGGCTGATATTTACATAATCAAATTAGAATTTGTCAACTTTGTCATTAGACTTCAGGAATGGATTGAAACGTGTTTCCATAAAACGTCCGAGGTCGAATATATTCATCAGGTAAAATTTAAAGATGTGAAAATACATTTTAATTAAATCTAGTAGATCCCTGAAAAAAAAAAATAGACAAGCTGATTTATTACTGAATATTAGGTCATGTTTTAGAAAAAAAAAAAAATAACAGTTTTAAAGTCAATCTACTAGAAAATAGTGACAGCTGGACAGATTAGAATACAGCTTCTAATCATAAATAGAAATTTGCTCAGTAATATAGAAAAAATGTGGAAGTCTGTAACCTGGTTAATATTTTTCCACCTGCCTCTCCCAGCAACAGTTAGGAGCCCATCATTCAAAAGCTCCTTGTTTTTCCTTCAGACGCTTTACAGAAGACTGCCATGCCCTGCTGCAGTGTCAGCATTTATTAAATTATTTTCACAAGCACACTGGTGACTGAGGGCTGTGACCAAACTGGTAATTCATATTACATAGTGTGAAATTGAAATCACTTCTAATGAATCAAATCAATCGTTTCACACACAAAGAGAAGCCTCACATATCCTCGTCTTCTATATCCGGTTCCTGAAATCAAGTCTCGTTGTGCCTACTTGGCCACTTTCTTCTCTCCTCTACTTAGTGTGCCCGAGAACAAGGTCAACGTCATCAAGGTCATCCGCTCCATCCTGAGGGAGAATGTGAGGAGGAACATGAGGAGCGAGGGAACGCTGGAGAAGAGCTGTAAGGAGCGCTTGGTGCCTCTACACAAAACGTTGCCTACCTCCGCCAAACTAGGTGAGTGGGAAGACTGTTTATTTATTATTTTTTTTATTCAAAATCCCTCTGTATCTTTTATTTTTTGATTGTTTCCTTAAGATTCTAATTTTTAGAAACGCTGCAAAGTTGAGAGCCGTCGTCTAAAATCATGTTGTACCAACAACTAAAATTTATTTACTGTTGATTGAATACATTTCAACACAAAAACAAAGATTCATGCAACTGTTTTTGACTAGGAAATGAATGTGCAAAGTAATACTACATCAATTAAAATTATCAGGAGCTTCAGGGATTCTATGAAGCCTAATATATCTTATGACCTAACTCTGATCTCTATCCAAAAGGTGAAATTTGGGGAAGATTTTTTTTTTGTTAATCAGTCTTCAGAAACATGTTGGATGTAGTCAGACTACATCTTTAGCACAAAAAGTGGAACACCTTATTAGGTCCGCAATCAGGCCGTGTGCGTACAACCATAGTATTTTCAGTGACTTAACGAGAACACGGTCAATGTATTTGAGTGGGCAGAGATGTCAGACACTGAGGGGAGGAAAAAGGTTTTTACTGCAAGGTCCTGGTAAAAAGAAAGATTTAAAGAGGAAAAACAAAATAGTCTGGCTGAAATTTTACAAGTGGACAAACAATTTAATGTCAGTCACACCTGCATTTGATGATCAGATGTGGACGATGGTCTGAAAGTGCAAGTCGGCATCTATTTATTTTAAAGGTGTTTTCTTAAAGCATCAGACATGAAACTGGAATCTGTCTTGCTCTTGTATGAGTCCATTCTTTCATTTTAGACACAATCACATCAATAAATTAACATCAATTGTTAAAGTTTTAACACGAACAAATTGACAATCAAAATTGTGACCAATCACAAGTTACTTAAAATTTTTCTGAAATGTAAGACCCTGGTACACCACCTGGTTAGAAATATGGTTTGACTTGGCTGGCGGCCATTAGAGGTCATTCACAGAGGTCTGGACAAGAGTTCACATCCGATGAAGGCTGAACAGAACTGGAAGCTCATTTAAAAGTCATTAGTTTCACATTATGAACTTCAATAGAGATATTATCTTGCTTTTAAGGTCAAATTGTATATTTTATTAAATGTTTTTGTTCCGATAGAGACTGCCACTAATGTCCTCTAACTACCTTTTATTTCTTTATCAGGATCCTCCAGAGCTTCCTGGTTGTGTAAGCAGCCGCTTGAGGAAGTCTCCTTCCAGGCCAGGAATCCTAAGTTAGGACCCGACTCAGACGACGGCAGCCTGAGTAGTGGAACCTACAGTTTTTCTAGCGCTCCTCCAGCTTGCGCCTCTTCTGACTCTCAGGCCTCCACCGCCCCCCAGAACTGGTCTCAAGCCCAAGAGTCTGACTCACAACCTCGCTCCACCTCTGTGAAGGAGTCGGACATTTTAAGCGACGAGGACGACGACGGTTTCAGCGAGGGGGGCGCGAGAAGGGACAGTGGGGACAGCAGTTCCCCAGCAAGTGCCATCGAAGCCCAGTTCCTCCATCTCAAGCTGTCGGAAGAAGCTGTGTCAAAATGCATTCTGGCACCTTGTGTTCAACCAGAGGGAATTGGGGACACTCCTGAGATCCAACACAAGCCATTGCGAAGACACTACAATGGAGTTAAGAGAAAAACCAACAGTCTGAAGAGAAACCAGGAGTCGCTGTTGCACCTGAAGAACCAGACTAGGTCATTGGATAGTCAGACTGGTTCAGTGTCACCCAGTGGTGTTGTGGACCTCAACACTCTGCTGGAAAGAGAGTTCAGCGTCCAAAGCCTGACATCCGTAGTGAACGAAGACTGTTTCTTTGACCGAGCTGACAGCTGTGCGACAGACTCTGGAAATACCATGTCTACCTAGAATCCAATATGGGCAGAGTGGAAAAAATACTGTATCTGACCCACAGGTAGGTCATAAAGGTGAGGGGGCTGGTCAAAATCCCAGCATTACAAGTGGGGAAACCCATGTGGCTTACAGCAGTCACTGCCAGGCAGGGTGTGAAGCTGTGCCTGAACTCGGAAGTCACCAAGTCTGACACCCTGCCACAGAGGGTGAGGTGCAAATGATCTCTTAGCTCGCAGACCTGGGTTTTCCACCTGAAGTGGAGAGGTGAGACAATTTCTCCCCCATTGATGACTGCAACAAATCCTCCAAGCACTGATGTCATTGTGCAAGCGTTTTGACTTTTTCAGCTTCGCCTCTTTTTATTTCCCCTGCACCCTCACCAAACCATTTAAAAGACATATTACATTCCCCTCCTCTCCACATCTTGGGCTGATTGGCAGGTTTGATTTGATTTCTGACCTTTTCTGTGGGGGAAAAAAAAAAAATGGGGAGAATGTCCTCGGCTGTCAGTTACAGAGGAGTGCTGACAGAGAGGGTGAACCAACAGTGTATACATAGTGACAGGGTATGGAGAAAGAATCAAGTTTCCTATGCAGGGACTGAAATTATTCAGACAGGAGGTTTCCACATGAGTTCGTATTGCCTGATGCATTTACTGTAATGTAACCAAACGCTGTAGATCACGGGGGCAAATTTAATTTAGGTGATCATAGACCTTATCAGCTGCACAGGCCAAACTTTTTAGCCCAAATCTAAAAAAATACCTGCAAATTGACAAAACTAAGCCTTTTTTGCTGTATTTTGTGCACTAAAGTACACTGTTTGCCTACATATTTGAATTATTTTTTTACCTGTACAGGTTCTGATATCATTACTGCTGTTTTTTTAAGTTATTTCTTGGATTATTCTTGGTTGAGAAGCTTTTTGGGTGACTGCTTGAATTTAGGCTACAGATCTGATCGGCTCTTAAAATAAAAAAAAAAAAAAAAAGATGCTAAAAAGTTTCCCATTTCCTTGCTTCATTTTTAAAGCAGCCTTTTGGATTTGGTTGTGTCACTGAAGATTGTTTTAATTCCTAAGTTTATCAACATTTGTAATCTCTCCTAACATTTCTGCATGCAGCATTTGTGACACTGTTCAGTTACGAAATATGGCAGGAATTTGCAATAAATTTGTTGATATTTTTGTAGCCAGTTTGCCATAGAATAAATCTACATTTTGAGGTACTATTAAAAAAAAAAAAAAAAAAAAGGAAAGCCACTTCTCTTGTGTGCAACTTTACCTTGCCTTTTAATGCTAGTATACCAATGAATGTGAATGCTCTATTCTTATGGAAATGTTTTATAAAATAAAAAGCTTCATCTTGTGAATGACATCTAGAGACTAGTGTCTTCAGTTCTGCATTAACTTCCTTCTTATTGGCTGCGTGGTGAAGCAGTTCAGGGACGCAAAGTGTCTCATCTCAATTTGACGCGTGGTCCCTGATTGGCTGTCATGTAGGATTCCACGTCCTTCTTTAGATGGAAAAAGGTACGTACTCAATAGAAGGCATAATTATGACAGAAGTGGGGCACAGAAATATAAGATTGGGAGAAGCTTTACTCCTATGCATGGTTTTTTATGCTAACAAGCTATTTATTCCCAGTGGACAGCCTTTTGTTTTTGCTCCATTAATTTCCATAAGTTATAATATCGTCATAATATTCGTGTGTATTCTATTGGGATTTTATGTCATTGACTAGCATTACATAGACACACCGCTGTGAAGAATATATGCCCATCCAATTAAACTTATAGGTCGGGTTAGGACAGCATATATTTGGGAAGCAACCAAAAGGTAACTCTAGAGGAACGGCAGAGACCCACAATATGGTCAAGAAGGTCTGCTGGCCAAATGAGAATAAATTCATTGGGTTACAAGCTTAATATCACATGGCAGAAAACTAACACTACCTTGAATCATGTTGTGGGGATACATTTCCTCAGGAGGGACTGGGAAGCTGGTCCGAGTTGATGGTGAGGTGGATGAATCTAAATACAGGGCAAGACTGGAAGATAACCGGTTAGAGGCTGCAAAAGACTGGAGACGAGGGCGGAGGCTCACCTTCCAGCAGGATGGCAACACCAAAACTGCCAGCTACAAAATAATGGCCCTGATAGAAACATGCTCATCTGCAAGATTGGCTAAAAATGAAGGTCTCTGGATGGTAAAGACATAACCCAAAAAAGCTGACTCAGGGCGAAGTCAGATTCTTAAAAGTAGCTACTTGTAAAATCCGGTATTGTCTTTGCTCTTCAATGTTTTCGACCATCACATAAAATCCTTTTAACAGGAACCCGATCATGTGCTTGCATTTAGAAAAAGCAGGGCGCAGTCTGATGCTAAATGATCCACTAAATGAGTTGGAGGCAAAACCTGCTTTGCATGCAGTCCAACAAATCTTAAATGTCTGTTTAGTATTATCGAGTTAATAACAGAAATGCTGATGAGACAGAACTCCCCTATGATTACGTTGTTGATGCACAATGCATGGAATCTGACATTCAGAGACCTCATGAAAATACTGCAGCGTCCAAAGAGGTGTCTGCCTCACTGCACAGCCATACCTCATTAGCACATCACTACCCTGCTGCTCCTCTGCATGACATAATTTCTCACCATTAAAATCAGCCACGTTCCCTCGCTTACCAAAATAAAAGCTCGGCATTGCACTGCACCACTCAGGATTTCATTAAGGCCAAAGAGTGAACTGCAGAACGCAGCATATCGATGCATGTGAATTTTCCATTGCTGCAAGAGATTATTACCCATCGCACATCAAAACGGAACCAAGTCGCTTTCTGGCAAGTCAACCCAAGCATACCATCTGTCGCACTGGCAGGGAGCAGCAGCGTCATGTTCTGCTGGTAAAAACCTGCTATAATATTCAAAGAGGAGTATTTAAAACACTTTCATATAATATTTGAATAATAATTACAGCTTTGAGTTTATTCACAACATACGTTTTGCTTAGAAAGCGTTTTAATTTGATAAGACCAAACTCACTGGTAATATATTGGCTCATTTACTGGTAGCTTTGGCATACGTACAAACAACGGCTTACGTAATCAAAATATTTATTGAGAGAATGCAAAAAAAAAAAAAAACCCAGAAAAGACTGTTAAAAATTATTGTACTATGAGTTCTGATCCTTATTTTGTCTGTTTTTTTATTTGAGCTGACAAATTCACAGCAATTTCAGCAACCCTTTAAGGTCCGTCTCCCAAGTGATGGAGCAATACACACTTGAATGAAAAAAAATTGTCCTGGATGTGGAGCTGCCATGTTCCCGATCTCTAAATCACCCTGAAAGCACTGACATTTCTTTCAGCTCCCACAGGACAAGGTGTTAGACAGAAATGAAAAAAGAAATGGGACATAAAGAGATACTTACTCGCCAGGAGCTGCTACGGGCAACTAGCTGCTTTCTTTCCCTTTCCAAAAATGCATGGAAGGCAAGCACCGCTCGTACACCCGTTCATGTGTTTCGAATGACTTATTTCTCCCTGGGTGCAAAGAGAATGTTTAAAAATGCATGTCTGTGCTAGGTGGAAATGTCAAGGCTAAGAGCAATGTGTTGTCTTTCTGCGCTAGCAGAGGCTATTAGTGGGCTCCTTTTGGTTTTCATGCTTGTTTTCAGCACGGTTGCGGAGCACTCGGCATCTCTTTAAACACGTCCACTGAAGTGTGGTGATTCCTCCCCAGGTGCTTCAGCCTGAGTTCTTCTCTGAAGTCGTAGCTAAAGAGGTTGGGGTCGTTGGCGCAGAGGTGAGCGTAGGCGTCCGACAAGGCCCTTATGTGGGGTATGGTGAGCTCGGTGGGGCGCAGAACGGGGTCCACGTCTGCCCTCTGCATCATCTCCTCCGTCAGCTCCAAGCGGCACGCCTCCGGAAACAGCATTCTGGAGACAGATGGCAGGAGACACGCTGGTACAGATTCCTACATTCAGGTGGCTTTGATGTATTAATATTCATGCAGTTTTAAATGGCATTTCAAAGTTCAAACAGAAATATATTATTCCTTAGCAATTATTGCTAAATCTGAGGAGTTAATCGAAATCACACAAAGAATCTGCTCATGAATGATTAATTTTCTCCCTTGCAACCGACAGCAAATTGCAAAAGTATTCACCTCCCTTGAATTTGTTCATATTTTTTCATGTTAAAACCGCAGACTTTAAAACTATTTTAATAATGAGATTGTATGTGACGAAGACATAAAGCGAGAGCATTCTGCAGTGATTTCTCTGACATCCCTGAATAAAATCGAGTATCATCTGCCCTTTAAATAGAGGAATCTGTCGACAGGACAACTATTAGTGGCGTATTCTACAAACCTGGCCAGGTAAGGATATGAGGCAAGATTTGAACATTGATGTCAGCAATCTTACAGATCATGGGATAAAATACAAACAGGAATGAGAAAAACTTTCAGGCTATGTGCTAAGCTAATGGTGCCATGGCTGAATCAACTAACAGCTGTTCTGTTTGTATTGACTCAGGAGATCTTAATGCAAATGGATGCAACGTAAAAACATCTTGAAACCTTTCCATTTCATAGCAATGTACTACTTTGTGTTGGCCTAGTACATAAAATCCCCAATGACATAAATTGTGACTGCAACATGGCAAAAGTTTAAACGGTGTGAATTCTTTTGCACGGCTCAAGGAGTGAAGGAGTGTCAGCGATCGAACACTTGGACATAAAAAAACAAACAAACATTGATTTACATTTTTCTTTATATCAGATTCAACGCAGACAAGCTTGTGAATTTAGTTTCCAGACATTCTTCTGTCTGAAAATGTTCATCTATATTCATCTTTAGTCCGCTAGAGAACATTAGCCACTTCCAGACTCTGCAGAGACTCTTAAGATGCATCAGTGCTGAAGGCTGCCTCTGAAATTTGGTGCAGCTGCCGCCAACCTACTGCTCTAGCATAAAACAGTCTGCCTCGTCTTCCTGTGCCACCTCAGTGAGTCATAATTACCGCTCTCTCACACAGCCTGGGTTCTTTTTGTTACCCAGGCCTACACACGCTTCCCCAACAACCACGGGGGCGATGGGCAGCGATTGCATGCATGTGGATGAGTGGGCTTGTTGCTACTGGTTTTTGAACAGAGTTCTGAAGTTGCTTTACTGTTAAGGGTTTGGTTACAGAAAGGCTTAAAATCTGCGTTTGTCAGAGCGCTGAGTACACGAAGCGAAAAAAAAAAAAAAAGTCAATCAAAAAGCAGCCTAATTAATGATGAGATGAAGACACTGCTGTCAGAGCGCAGAATGAAAAATGTAGATTGAGAATGACAGATGAGGACGAGCCAAGATTAAAAAGTAAAAACTTGAGCATAGTGGCCTTCTAAGACCCAACAAGTTTTATAACTGTGCTCACCTGATTCCTTTATGGCAGTGCTTCCGACGGAACTGGAAAACATTCCTGACTACTTTCTCCACCAGCTTGAAGGGCTGTTGAATCTGAGGCTTGACCAAAGGGGTGAAGTGAACTACTCCCACATCCACCTACGCGCACACACACACACACACACACAGTAAGCGGAAATAACAGCAGGGGGAGGGGGATGAACAGAGACCTTGAAAATGGATTGTAGAAAGAGTGCTGACTGAAATGTGTGTGTGGAGGCGTGCGTGCTGCATGAAAGCACAGATAGGTGTGATGGGAGAGAAGAATACAAGAGTGTGGAAAAGAACAGTGCAGAGAAAGCTTACCTGTTCAATGCCCAGAGAGGTACAAAACAGAACAAAAAGACACAATAGGAATGATCAACTCGCTGTGCAAAAACAAAAAGAAGAGGCAGAATAAGATGACGCAGTATGGCTGGCTGCCTGGCAGGTTGGGTCCAGTTGCCACAGTAACATCTGTGAGACGAACCAAAGAAACTGAGTCTTCCTGTGTTGCTGCATCATCTGGGAATTTCTTCATAATCCCAAGCCTGACTTCCCAATAAACAGCATGTTTTCTATCCACAGAGTGGTTATCAATGCAGAAGGAACACATGCAGTGTACCTTGGAAAAGTATACATACCCTCTGAACCTTTCCATATTTTACCATGCCACATGTGGCACCTATTTGGGTTTGTGCATTTAGAGGTATCAGATCAAGAGAAACTGGGTACCTATGCACAGCACATTTTTTCAGATTATTGTTTTTTTTTTTTTTTTTTGCAGAGTTTAGACGATAATGCATCACTTTCTTTCAAGGTCCTTCCAGGGTTATGCACCTTCCAATGTTACTTTTCTTGTCTTAAAAAAAAAAAAGTCTTTAAAATGTGAAAAAGTGGAAAATCTTTTACAAGGCACTGTACACATCTAGTGATGGACCTGTTTTTTACCAACTCTTTATGGGGGAAAATAAACTATACAAAACTATGCCCTATGTCTTCCATTTTATTAATTGTCAATTAAATAAATGCTTCAGAGGCCAGCTGTGACGCACAGACATATTTTCTTTCACTGCTTACAATACGCCCAGCGCATTGAGGTACCTGATCACCAATGAGTAAGTATGCAAATACAGTACAACCCTCGTATCCACATTGGTTAGGGACTGTAGCCACCTGTGAATTTGTATTACTACACACTGTGGAAACAGTCTTAGCTACAGTAGAACCTAAAATATACAGTATTCCTCATCTATGCTCTTGGGGGTGCAGACAATTAGCAGCTAGAAAAATCAATGCCACTCTTGGGTTGGCTGCTTTGCAGACATCAACTAACAGAACGTAATGTAGAATTGTGCTTAGGTATGTCAGCTTCCCAAACAGCATTTTCTTTTTAATATTTTAGAAATAAAATCTGAATTTTCTGTGATTAATTTGCAGCTACGCTCCACAGAGAAGTCAGCAAGTGATGTACAGTGAATTGGTGGGGGTCCACTGTGATAAAAAAAAAAAAAAGGTTGATGATGCAGTTGACAACTTTTTACCACCCTGAAAGTGATGGTGCAGCGACATCACTCATATCAAGAGCTAATATTTAGGAGGGGGAAGTATGTCAATCAGCAGGATAACAACCCAAACTAATTTGTTTGTGCTAAAATGAATGGTAAAAAGACAAAACATACAGTTATTAATATAGCAAAGCATGTAGGGTTTAAGTTTATGCTCATTTTCATATAGCAATATAGACAAATCGAGATTAAACTTTTTGTGTATATTGCAGTTCAACTGCTCCACTTTCACCACCACACCACAAACATTCCAATCATGTTTTTTGGGAATCTGAGTTGAACTACAGTTTAAGTACCAGAGAGAAACCCGGCTCCACTTTCATACACACCTGATCCTTCTTGTGGCAGTTTTAAGTGGACAGGACATCATGTAGGAAGAACTATTCCAGACTCAGAAGAGCATGTTTGTTATAACTGGGAATCTCAAGTCAATATTTGTATATATCTTCACATAATTTCTATACATTTCAAATTTTACACTAGTATTTGGGTTTTATGATGCTGTGATCAGATATTTTAAACAATAAATGCATCAAAAAGTGTTTCCTAACACTCTTTTTGGCCATATAAACCCACGTAGCCAGAGTAGATACAACATGATAAGAATGATGCTGCACTCAACAAAGCAGAACAGTTGGTTGTCAGATTCCTCATGTTTAGTTCTAACCTTACTTCTTTGATAAAGAGTGCGCTGATGCTAATAAAGACATTTTGAGCAGCGTGACTATTAGGGTTGTATAAATAAATCGATTTGGCGATATATATGTCGATATTTTCCGCTCTCGGAAAATATCGATATTCCATCCGCGAGTATCGATCCGTTAAACCATAGGGGTCCCACTACTTTAGCAGTTAGAAGAAAACAGCTTACAGCCACGGCTAACTCCGGGAGCCAAGGTACAAAAGCCTTTTTTCCCCATAGTCCAAAAGACTGCATTTGTAGCTGCATTTTTACTCCAAAATGCAGCCACAGTGTCCAAAGAAAAAAACATAAGTGCAATCATTTGCATATTGAGAGTCTACAGAGGCTGATAATCTCCCCACTCTGCTCCTGGATTACCGTTTAAACTTTTCAGTTTTATGTTAAATCCACATGAATTAAATGACAGAAACTAATTCTCTCACTGCATCTTTGATTCATTTTGTCCAGCTACAGACTGTTAGACTGTCCAAGTAAGTGTCAGGTATTGTGTAGTTGGTGCTTTTAATCAGTTTTCAGTTAACTAAATTCAAGTCTATGGAACACAAAATGTCACTAAAATTACTCTGTCCTAAAATCTTTCAGAAAATTATAAAAATGCACTGAATCGTAGCGAATTGTATAACAACAAATATCGTGATACATATCGTATCGTGACCAGAATATTGTATATCGTATCGTGAAATTATTGTATCACTACACCCCTAGTGACTATGGGATTCCATGGAGACTCATTCACAGCATTCACCCTAAAAATAGTAATACATCTCACAACTTTTAGATGATTTTTGGATTTAAATGCCTTTCAAGACGCTAAAAGGGTTTTTGTAAGGCAAGATAAAAATAATTAACTCTATAATCTCCTGTCTGAATGGATATTAAAAAGTGGGGAATTATTTTTTCATACCAAATCAAAAACTTGAGAAAAGGAAAAACTTGAGACAGGTAGGATGGGGGTATGCAAATGGTCCTGTTACTATAGTATGTTGCTTTAATGTTTGAGGGCAAGCAAATCTGTAAATAAAATATCCTGAGGACAAACCCCACCTCCAACTTAGATTTCACAGAGTTAAAATAAAAGGATGTCTAATTCTGCTCAACAGCTCTCCCGCAGTGAATGCAGGCCCTGCGGAGCTCCTCATGCACCCTTCCTGCTTATATTTCTGGATTGTGACTCACTCATTCGCAGCTGCCTGTTTGCTTTGGGCTTGGGGCTGGCGTCGATAATTAGGGGAGGAAAGCTAAAGTGGTCCAAGGGCGTATAGAGGGTTCCTAATGAAAGTTTGAAATACCCCTCTTTCTCTTTGAACAGCAGAAGTATCATTTGGAGAGGCACTTGTAAACTGCAGCACTATCTCTTATCAGATCTATAGATCCCAGTGTATCCCAGCATTGCCTGGCTGCTGCTAAGCTTCCTGTCGCAGTGGCGTTTAATGGGCCAGCAGCAGTGGGGACCGACAGTCTCAACAGCCCTGAAGGCTGTGCGCCAGAATTGAGAATGCTTTAAAGTCTTAGGTTCAGCATAAGATAACAGGACAAGGACGACAGAAAAAAAAAAGGATTTTCTAGTTATAAGTGAATGCAGGTGTTAAATAAAGCTTCTGTTCTACTTCAAATGTTGATTTTTGTCATATTAATGTCTAAATAATGACCTCAGGCTTTTCTTGCGGTGATTGATAACCCCTTCAGTTCAGTTTTATGTAAGGGCTTTGAGGCAAGGAATGTCAAGGGCATCAATGGGCCTTGGCAGCATCATTTTTATTTCCATTATGAGGATGGATTTATCCAACTGTCATATCAACAACATGTTAAGAATTTGATCAGGATTTCATACCTGGACCCGCAAATTACTTTCCTCAGTCTTTGAGTTACGCAAGATCAGACCACCATCTGCAAGGAAGACGCAATAAAAAGGAATGCCTTTAATTTCACTCTCTGCTGGAATAATTAGGCCATTTATATTCCACAATTTATGATTTAGGAGAGGAGCAAAGGGAAAAAGTCGATATTGGGCCTATGCAGGCAGCAGCAATTCACCCATCAGCTTGTCCAAGTCACTTTGCTGCTATGATTTATGTATGGCCTTGCTACATGGCTCGACTGGGTAGCACCACTGTAATATATCCCGCTGGCTGCCATTAATTCTTCACCGATAACCCCAACATGCAAGGGAACTCCATCTTAAATCACACGCAGTCACCTGGCCCCTCTGCAGGAGGTGTTATAGACATGATGTTCTACTAAAAAAACCCAATACGGTTCTGGTCGGAGGGTCATATACACTCATGATACGGCATCAATGTCATTTTCATACCAAGCTTTTAAAAATGCATTGAAAAGGAGCTGATTTTTCCTGGGTGGAAGGATTATGTAACTCAACTTCTGCGGTTATTTTAAAAACAACTGATGGGTGCACTAATCCACAGTCAAAATTAGACATAATAGCTCATCATCTCTCATACCTCTTAATTAGGTACAGCAGCAACACAATGGATTTATGTATGTAAACATAGTGAGCCTTCATAGTGAATGTACCAAGCATCAGAGGCTCTGACTCTGAAAATGGAATAGTTGGCACGCTGGTCTGAGTATTTTTGAAACTGCTGATCTATTAAGATTTTCACACACCGTCATCTCAAAGGTTTCCAAAGAACGGCTTGAAACAGAGGAAATAGCTAGTGAGTGGCAGATGTATTTGCAAAGTTAGCTATTTGATGTCAAAGTAGGAGGGGCAAATCAGTTTGAGATAACAGAAAGTCAAAGTAGCTTAAGTTCCCATTTGTTATATCTCAAAAAAGATGGCCTATTGTGGAAGGGTAGCTCTGTTGTCAGGTAATAAGAAATGGGTAAAA